AAGATTTCAGATAGAGAAAACAGTGCTGTTCTAGTGTCTCCTTGTCCCAGGAGCTTTCCCAAAGATAAACTGTTGCACAGCAGTTCAGCCATAGGAGCTGATGACGTACTCATTACTTAATTTGACTCAATTAGAGGAAGAGCTGACTTTTAGGCAGAACCTTTTGAATCCATTTGTGAATAAAGTCAATTAAATAACGGAATGGAACAGGAGAGAAATGTACCAAAAACCAAACTTCACTGATCACCTTGCTGTCAGTGGGGAGAGTTTCTCTTTCACACAATTATCCTGTTCCTATTTGGGAACCAGTGATCTTTATACAGCTGGAGAAGGAAATGTGGACAATGCTTTTGTTGAGGGTGTGTCTAGACTACAGGGTTTTTTCGAAAAAAAGTGGCTTTTCGAAAAAACGTCCCCTGCATCTAGACTGCCGCTGAGTTCTTTCAAAATTAAATCAAAAGAAAACGGCAGTTTTTTCGACCGTGGCAAACCTCGTTTTACGAGGAAGAACGACTTTTTTTCAAAAGTGCTCTTTCGAAAAAAGGTGTTCTTCAATGCAAATAGGGCTTTTTCGAAAGAGAGCATCCAGACTGCCCGAGTGCTCTCTTTTGAAAAAGCAGCTCGCTTTTTCGAAAGTCCTGGCTGTAGTCTAGATGCTCTTTTTCAAAAGAGGCTTTTTCTAAAGATACTTTTGAAAAAGCCTCTTTCCAAAGAGGTTTGCAGTTTAGATGTAGCCAGATAAGTGAAACAACCCTTGTTTTTGTGCTGATCTAAATTCAAATCTCTACAGCCACCCCAGATTTAAAAAACAAACTTTTTGAAAACTGTCTGTATCGAATGGACATAAACCTCTCAAGGAAGAACAATGCACGTCGTACTGTTCGCCAGCTAGCTACGTTATTTCTCCCTAAGCCTTCCTTGCTTTTCAGTTCGTGTGGGAGCGCCGGGCTAGCGGCTGTACGTGCTTGGGCATGAATTGGTCAAACTCTTCCATTCTAATTAAATGTAGCCAATCTGGGTGTTTGCTTTTCAGACACCCATTTCTACAGAAAGGATCGTCTGTGCCCCCGAGTGTGGATCCCTACCTCCCCTCCCCATGGCGTTGTTCCCCCCCCCATACAACAAACGCAGCTGGTTCCGTTTGGTCAGCCTGAGACTTGCTGTGAAACTACGACAAGAATTTCAGTAAGTTGGCAACACTTTCACACAAAGAAAACAACAATAGGAGAAGTCCTTCCGTGCAGAAAGGAATGCTTCAAGCACTGTTCTCCTACAGTGAAAGGAGACAGGAAGGGAGGGAGGGAGAGAAGGAGGAGAGAGATTTGAAGAGGGCAGCCCCTTTCCCCAGCAGCTCTGGATCTTGTGATGGAGAGATCTTATCCTCTCTGTGATTCAGAGGTGCCAGGAAACTCATTGAATATTCTGATCTGCCCCAGTGTTTCTTGTGGCTTGACCCCGGTGCTGTGTCGTACCACTACACCAAGCAGCCCTGAACCTGCATAAATCACAACCCTGCAAAGCCTACACTCCACATCTTATCTTTCTCACCCCCACCCCCTTTCCTTCTCCAGCATGATAGATATTAGAAACCCTTTACGGAAACGTTTGTGAGATTAGTGTCCTAAACGATCAACGCAGACAAAAATCCGTATCTCCTAATCAACGACAAAACAGTCGTGGAGAACTTTTGAAAAAGTATAAAGTACAGACACTTTAGAAATTAAAGGCTTGGAGAGGACCAAGAAGAATTAAGTAATGTTACAGAACTGCTTGTTCAACTCTGCAAACAACCCCTGCAGTTTAATATAAACTTTATACAGTAAATGGTAAACTTTATGCAACTAATATAAGGAGTGTGTAGAGGCGGGGCAATTGCAATGAAGAGGACAAATCATGTTGTCAGATAAACTAATCTCTCCCCCCTCTGATCCCACGATTTACACAGCAATCAGTTGTTCTTGAAATGCTCGAGTATGTTGTATTTCATACAGGAGGAGAACTTGAGAGGGGGAGTTAAGTGAAGTTCATCACCTAACAAAGTTTTATCGTGATAAATTTCTTTAAAAGAACTTTCTAACTAAAGACCTCACTACACTAAGGCATGTTCAGTTACACGATTAACTTTCTCAGCAGTTTAACAGAATTATAAATTCCGTTAGTTTAACAATTCTGTGAGAGACTCCCCGTACTGCCTTCACACCACCATCTTCTGATGAGTCCCCGAAATACTTAAGCCGATTCCATAGGGAGTAATCTCTGAAAAATGCAAACACGCCCCGTTTCCCCCCTCGCGAATAATCTAGTTTTCTACTATAGTCTTATATCTAATTCCTGAAATGGCAGCAATAGCTGAACCGTGGCTGGGTATTTTACCGGTGATTTATTGTGTATCTGTGACACAAAGGCCCCCTTGGCAAAGCCAGGCCCGTCACAATACTGTTGACAAATGAGCAGATATTCAGGCTGCCCTTAGCAATACTTTCCCCCGCGGCCGCAACGCTCTCTGCAAGTGGTTTTTCTCTCCCGGGAAACCCAGGACAGGCTCGGGTGGAGAAACAAGATTCATTCTGGGCTTGTCAAGGCTTCAACCCCGTTTTAGAGGCGAGTGAGTGCGTCTCCCTAGGGACTGATAGGCACAAATCAGCGTTTTCAACTTTACCCCAATGTCTGAATGTCACGTCTTGGTGTCAAGCCTTTCCAGGGCTCCTTCGCCAAACTCCTTTTCTTTGGCTACAGTGTTTGTCGGTTGGGACTCGGGCGTCAAACGCGGGGTCCTGTTTGCTATTCGAACTCACCCCGGATCTGGCCAAAGCGCGTTACAAGGCAGCGCCAGGGCGATGTGAGAAGTCATTGGAGTGCAGTGGTGTGAAAGCATCCCTCCTACCCTGCACAGTGCGCGCGGAAGGAGGGGCAGAGGCAGCCGGCTGTAGGGCCTGGAGCGGTGCCTGATTCCCTCATGCTAGTTCCGGGGCCGCTGGGTATAAAGAGCTTTATGCAATGTCTGGAGGGTGGGAGTTTATAGGAAACGCGATGTCTCAGCTGGCGAACACGCCTTTCCTCTGCAACTAGCCGGATAAGAGAAAGACACCAGGCGGCTGGGCTGGTGCGGGGCCGAGCAGACTTCTGAGCCCAGCAGCCAGCTCCCGAGGGAGCTGCAGCATCCCCGCCCCGATGGGCTCTCGTCGCGGGATGGACGGAGCAGCGGCCTCTTGCAAAGTGCTCATCTTACTCACTGCGTGCATCATGCAGGCTAGTGGCCAGGGTAAGCCCCCTATTGCAGCCTGGTCCGGGGGGCACTCGGGGCTCTGGAAAGGGGCACGAGGGAGCTGCCTGCCTTGGCTTCCCCGGGGCTAGAGCCGCAGGCGGCGCCTTCCCCGAAGCTCACTAGTGGCAAGTAGAGCGGGGCGCTGCAAGAAGCGAGCCCAGCGGTTTCTGTGACAGCTCCTCCGCGGGCTGCTTTCGGCCTTTGCTTCCCTCGCCGTGGCTCTTCGCTCGCCGAAGGGCCGCGAGTCCCGCGGGGAGCAGCCGCTGAGCTGTGAGACGTTCAGGGGTGCAAAGCCCCGGGAAGGGGGGGGCTCCCATTTTATGGAGGAGATGCAATGGGGCCGGGCACAAGGAGGGCAAGAACACCGCTGCGCCCTGGCGCTTGCTTGCTGCTGAAACCTGCCCCTTGGTCCCGGAGAGCCGCTCTCAAGAGCTGCGTCTGGCGGTGCAGCCGGGCCCCTCCAGCGCGCGTGGTTTTGCAGCCCAACGTGAGCAGGCTGAGCTGCCCCCACCCCCACCCCCGTTTCCAAGCTCAGGGTTTGCAGCCAGCCCGCGGGTGAAGCTGCACCTTGGTGCGCTCCATGAGCTCGCCGCGGGCTCGGCTGGTGTGATTTGCACGGCTCGGGCATGTGTAGCGTGGCCGCGTCCCGGGCCTGTGCAACATGCGGGACCTGAGCTAAAGCAACCGATGCTTAGTGTGGAGCACAATGAGCCGCCCTCCGTCTCGGGCACGGATTGAAGTTGGGAGAGAGAGAGAGAGAGAACTTTTTCTCTGGGCTTTGCTGTTGCTAGGTTACAGTGGAGAGCATGTGACTGGCAGAGCAGGCTGAGAGCGCGCGATAGGCTGCGCCGCCGCCTACTCTGGTACTAATCTGGCGGCTGGGGATGGAGGAGTCCTATCGCAACTGCAGCCCAGCTCTTCCTGCCTCTCCCCTGCCCGCTCCCACACACGGTAATTGCCCCGCAATGAAAACCAAACCCCTTATTGTTCCAGCGGGAGGAGATGGAGTGAATTTCCTGGGCCACGTCTATTGGCCGGGTGGCCCCACTGTTTTATGTGTGTGCCTTAGATGGATGTATTCAAATTGTTAATCTGCTTTCTTTGCTCAACTCTTAGGGTAAGCTTCTTAGAAGGAATGAAGTAAGTAATTATACAGCAACTGCTGCTAACAGCTCCCTTTGCTGAGCAGGGAAGTAGTTAGGAGATAGCTAATGTACAGCAGGAGCATTGCAAAAGCTCCAGCCAAAGAGGTCACACTGGGTAGAGAGCTAATTCCTTTGCACTCTTATTTACACTCATACAGCTGAAGATACAGTCATGACTTAAATGCTTATTGTCTTGTTCTGCAGTTGCACCTAGAAAATTTAGGACACATGTACCATAGATGTGACTGTGAAATCATCAGTTATTTGGCAAAGTTAGGGGGAAATTATGAATTGGCACCCAAAAGCAGGGCAGGCATTAATTTTTCTGTACTGGATGTAAGAATTATCAGAATAATTATGCTAATAAAATGATCTAATGTTAGCCATGGAGTCTTTGGACTAATACCTGTGTTTAAACCTGTGAACAAAATAGCATTGTGAACTCTTGGGATTCTTAACCCAAGTCGCATGATATTTGGTGTTTTTCTTAAAACTCTAGTTCTTGGAATCCTGTGATTATGTGAGGATTTCCGCTGTCACTTAAAAAAAAATTAAGTGATTGTAGACAGTGCCAGACTGAGCCATAGTTGCACCCCAGGCAGCAGGCGCGCGGCGCATGTGCAGCCCAGCCTCGGGCGCACAGCACATGGGCGGCCTCACCCCTGGACACTTGGTGCCCCTTACCACTTCAATCAGCCGCCCCCCATAGGATGGCGCCCTGGACAGCTGCCCCTTAATCTGTCCCTGATTGTAGATTTTATGGATGCTGAGAGAAATTTGAAAATATGACCCAAACATACACTATTGGGTCAAAAATCAGAAGTTCCTACTCAACAAACACCTCCATTATTAATTGTTTAAAAAGTATTTCAAGATTTGAATCATGACTCATGATTTTTGAATACTGGCAATTTGAATTTGGGAGTACTGAATGGAAACTGGATGGTCTCAGAAGCCTAAGAAGACTCAGTATGATCTGAGTACCTATGCCTATTGTAACTAGTGTTGTGCCTTCTCTCTCGACAAATCTTACTCCGTAATGTTTGTTAAACATGTCACAATGACTATTTTCGCAATCCGAAGTTACATAGGACCCCATCTGTAACCTTTTACTCATGCCAGCAGTCTTTATTACTTAGGAATACTCTTATGTGTAAAGATTGCAAGATGGGATCTATACTCCGTTGAATTTTAGTTCTCTCAGGCTGTCTACACAGCAGCTTTACCTCTTAATATCTGATGTTATTCCGAAATAACAAAGAATGTGTCTACACTGCAAGCCATTATTTCAAAATAATGTGGAGCTGGAGGAGTTTTTACTCCAACTCCTGTAACCCTCATTTTATGAGGAATAAGGGAAGTTTCAGGAGGAATGTTCTTCCTTCGACTTCCTGCTATGTACACAGCACCAAAAGCTGAATTAAGCTATTTCAACTTATGCTATGCAATTGAGGTAGCTTAATTCAACTTTTGCCCTACTGTGTAGACGTGCCCTCCATGTTATCCAAAAGGAGTGTTATATAGGGAATTATAGGAGCAATATTTTATATTACCATAACATTTCATTTTGAAGAATCCCAGAGCACTTCAGACATTCACCTGTGCAGCACTGTTGAAATGCAGCCACATCTTGAGTGGAAGAGACACAGCCCGATGGATACTGCAGTGCATAGCAGTTGTGTGAAGGGCAAATTTGGATCAAGATCATCAAGACAAATGTCTGAATTTACAAATTAGCCTGACAATCTTTAAGGATTTTTGTACTCAGAGAGTAGTCCATTTATCTGGTACTTGTTATAGGACTCAGGGAAGGACTGATGCTAATCTGCTCCGATATGACCCTCTAGTTTGTGGGGGCATGTCTACATTACAGGGAAGATTGATGCTCAGGGCCGGTCCGTGGCTATAGGCGGCCTCGGTTGCCGCCTAGGGTGCTGCTGCCCAGGGCGCCCGATAATGACGTCATGGGGGCGCCCGGGGTGCCCGCCAATGACGTCAGTCCTTTGACGGTCCTGCAGGCGGGGGCGCTGATTGCACATTCCGCCTGGGGCGCCAGCTGCCGTAGCCAGCCTCAGGCCACTCCTGTTGACGCTGCCGTGGTCGATCTTCTGGGGATCGATTTAGCAGGTGTAATATAGACCCACTAGATTGAACTCAAAGGGTGCCCCCGTCAGCACTGGTACTCCTCCTATTTCTTGCAACAAGGAAGGGAAGCCAATGGGAGCGTTTGCTCCTGTCGACCTCTCGCTGTGTGGATGGGGATTTAAGATACATCGACTCTAGCTGCGTACTTTACACAATGGCTGATGGTAGACATATCAGACTCGATTTATATCTGAAATTTCATTGAGATCTAAGGAACAAGCCAAGTTTGAAACAAATTAAGAGTATTTTGAAAGGTGAGGAGAGACATTCTTGCCCATTTAAAGGCAAATGAAAAACTGTGATTGATTTGCAGTGGGGCAAAGCTTCCATCATTTCCATAATTCAAGCATATACATTTGGAAATTTTAATTTAAATTAGGGGGAGACCCTAATTTAAGTCTTAGAGGGGTAGCCATGTTAGTCTATATCCTGGGCTCCAGAGGCAGGTGTCTTATGCATTGTGCCACTGGAGGAACTGCCCCCTCCCTGCCTTCAAGGACCCCATTGCCCTTCCTACCTTCTAGGGGTGCCAGCTTTATCCCTGGGGGAGGAGGGGTTGGTGGGACTCGAGCCCTCAGCCCCAGGGGCGGCTTCCTTATCCATTGCACCACTGGAGGAGCCCCCCATCTGCCCTACTTCTGGAGCCTCGGATTCAACCTTAATTCTGCTGCTAGTACAGGCATAAATTAACAAGGAGTCCTGAAGCACCTTAAAGACGAAGGGTATGTCTACACTACCAACCTAGTTCGAACTAGGGTGGTTAATGTAGGCAACTGGAGGTGCAAATGAAGGCTGGGATTTGAATTTCCTGGGCTTCAATTGCATATTGCTGGGCGCCGCCGTTTTTAAATGTTCGCTAGTTCGGACTCCGTGCCTGCGGCTACACGCGGCACGAACTAGGTAATTCGGATTAGGCTTCCTATTCCGAACTACCGGTACACCTCATTCCACGAGGAGTAACGGTAGTTCGGAATAGGAAGCCTAATCCGAATTACCTAGTTCGTGCTGCGTGTAGCCGCAGGCACGGAGTCCGAACTAGCGGACATTTAAAAATGGCGGCGCCCGGCAATATGCAAATGAAGCCCAGGAAATTCAAATCCCAGGCTTCATTTGCAACTCCGGTTGCCTACATTAACCACCCTAGTTCGAACTAGGGTGGTAGTGTAGACATACCCTAACAGATTTATTTGGGCATAAGGTTCTGTGGGCAAAGACCCACTTTGTGAGATGTACTGGAGTGAAAATTCCACTCCACTCCAAAGCATCTCACAAAGTGGGTCTTTGCCAATGAAAACTTATACCCAAATAAATCTGTTAGGATATGTCTACACTAGCCCCCTAGTTCGATCTAGCGAGGCTAATAAGGGCGACTGAAATTGCAAATGCAATGCGGGATTTAAATATCCTGCACTTTATTAGCATGTTCCCGGCCGGCTGCCATTTTTAGAAATTGACTAGCCCGAAGTAACTGCCCATGTCTAAACGCGGCAGTGAAATGGGATTCCGAATTAAAGCCCTAAATTGAATTAGCTGGTATTCCTCCTGCAATGAGGTTACCAGCTAATTCAATTTAGGGCTTTAATTCGGAATCCCGTTTCACTGCCGCGTGTAGATTCGGGCTGTTACTTGGGGCTAGTCAATTTCAAAAAATGGAGACCGGTCGGGAGCATGCTAATGAAGCGCGGGATATTTAAATCCCACGCTTCA